ATGTGATGTTAGATGTTAAAAAAAAATGAGTCACCTTGAAGAAAGATCAATAAATGAAATAAGAAAATAACAATAATGAAAGAAGATTTATAAGAAGAATTATTCCCGAAGAGTAAGAAATACACAGCAACGTAATTTCATTTTTCTTTTTTCCGATCCAATAATCAGCGGTGGATCCCCTGGTTCGTTGATCACGTGTAAAGTCAAACGTAACATGCTATGACGTTATCTGTGTAAATTATGTGTTTTTACTTGCGTTGTGAAACTCGAACGGAGATCGAAGACGAACGATTTCGTCCGTTTCGTTAAATGGGACACGTGGGCAAGTCATTTATTTAAATGGTTTCGTCCACTTCTAGGAAATATCCCATTTTAATTTCTTCAAGCATACAGGAGCCAATTCGAGAAATAGCTCTCTTACTATTTTTTATTCTATTAATTTGATAGACATAGAGTCGATGAAAGTTATGATAAGATGCATGATTAGTTGATTAATATAATAGTGTATTGTAATACTTATTATCATTTGACTATTTGATCACTCGTGTAGGAATATTTATTGTTAAAAGTAAATGATATAGTAACAGAAACGTGTTATTATAATGAGTGAGATAGCAAGCATAATTTGCTGAAAATATATGAATTACTTTGACACGAAGAACGTGAGATATATACCTGATGAGATAGAAATCAACATAAATTTTGTTAAAAAGCACTCGCGTTCTTTCAACAAAGCTAAAAACCTAAATCTGATGTTTCTAGTAGATGAAATAAAATAAATTCTTCCTACTTGCTATCTCACCAATTATACTCATTTGTATCGTGCTTCTTAATTTAAAGAAAAAAAAAAAAAAAAAAAAAAAAAAAAAAAATTAAAGGAAAAAGAAAAATGTCTAAGCACACACAGAGGCTGTAATAAAAGTGCAAACGTAATTGGTGTAAAAATTCGTGATGGATCAAGAAACATGTGCGTCGTGCATTATCGTCGCCCTTATTTTCGCCGATCGTTCAGCGCGAGAAAATTACCTGATCGACTTTGTGTCACGAGATTCTTGTCATATTGAACGGTGCAAGATGGAAGGGAAACGCGTCGCGACGTCACGAAAACAATGGGAATGAGTCGCGGAAGGCGAGTTGAAAAAGAAAACGTGTGCGACACGAGGAGGAGTCGCGCGGCGAATGAAGTCGATGCCAGGCGTCGCGACGCCACCTGTGGACACGTTTTCATTAGATACGCCGGGTCATCCGAGTCTGGACATTCGCAGGTATATACGCGGAAAAGAATAACGATGCTACGTAGGATGCTCTCTTGTAAAATTATAATACTTCTCTATACTTTGCTTCCTTTTGAACTTTCGTTCGCAAGCTCATTATACGGCTATATAGAAATGTGAAGAATCATCCATCGTGAATTTATAAAGAAAGCTTCTTCTTTAACCTTTTAAGCACACTGCCTTAAGGTAATGTCAATCCTTTGATTGTATTTCCTTCCGAGAGAAAAAGTATATAAATGCAAGAAGGTAATTGTTATTCAAGGAAAATCATTTAACTTTGAGAATACTTGATAATATGAACAGTTCTCTTTCACAGTCACTAATTATGGAAATTTTGTGTTTCGATAGTTGAGCTTTTTAGATATTAGTCACACAATCGTTATTTTAGGAAGAGAGTCGTTTGTCGTGGAGAAGTGACTTTTGAATTTGTTCTACTTGTCGATATTTCCTGGAATGTTCTTTTACTTAATAGACTCGCAGATAATCAAGTAGAATGTGTTGGTTATTCAGATGAGATAACACAAACGAGAATAAGGTATGTGTCAGAGAGCCTTGATTCCCCGTCACTCTTGCTGTAAAAGTCGTACAAGGCCAGCGTGAAATTATTCGGTGACTCCCCTGGAAATGAAGACTTTTTTGAAGACTTGCAAATTAAGATACTCCGAGATAATCCTAATAAGTCGAAATTGCAATACCATTCTGCAAAGTGTTTCATCAGATGAAATTGGAAACTTTGAGGAAAAGTGGATCGTGCAATTTGACATTATGGCCTTAAAGATACTTTATAACTCTCTCCTTTCTTTTCAAACAGACTTATAATATTTAATAAAAATGTTAAAGAAGTACGAAGGCAAGAGTCCTGTTAACTCGCATAAATAATTAAACGAATTGTTTCATACTTAATAATCTGCTTTACGTTTCCTTCATAAATATTTATGGCAGATGTTTATGAAATTTCGTTCCTTTTTCTGAACAATCCTCTCGGCGACGCATATATTTTTTATTCATCGACAACGTTAGTCCTGGAATGGTCTCGAATTTAACGATTATCGACTTGTACATTCGATGCTTCGAGATAGTTTCAGCGATTGTTTTGTTCATTCGCTAGTCGTTTACCTCGTTTACTTATTTAGCTTGCAGCTCGACTAGCGGGATCGATACTCTGGAGCAATGACATATCGATCTGACATGTTGCGTGAATCTCGAGTCGGTCGTGTCACCAT